CCAAGCCGGGGCTTGAACCGGCAACCTTCAGATTACAAGACGAACTCCCAACTCTTGAGCCACGATCGCCCAACAAGTGAAACTAATGACAAATGCAGGGACGTTTCGTCTAAGAAGAGTCTTGTTTAACTGTTAGACAACAGAACAAATGCAATTTATTTGATACAATACAATTTGGGCTATGTTTCAAGATATGTTATGGAAGTCTGTGATATGTCACCATCCATAACATACTACAGATTACTTCAACATATAACATGTGATATAGTTTGATGTATTAACCAAAACTGGCTAATTTGTATTTCATGTTTTGTTTTCAGTAATGATGGACAGTTTGATGTGGCCCTGCATGTCCATGTTCAGGTTTACAGTAATGGCAGGGTAACCTGGACTCCCCCTGCTCTGTACTGCAGTTCCTGTGGAGTCAAGGTAATTTACACAGATCTACTATGTATTTATCTTCCATCCAGTTTCATCTAAGCTTGCACGTTGTTTCCGACTCGTTTAAATGCCAGTTTTTTGTGTCTAGGTAACATATTTCCCATTCGACTGGCAGAACTGCACCATGCAGTTTCGCTCTTACACATATGACTCAACAGAAATCGACCTGCAGTATGCCCTGAATTCAAAAGGCAAGGAGATTCGGGAGATACAGCTGGACGAGTCTTTCAGTGGTGAGCACTCGTGACGTGATACATATATTCTTAAGTACAAGTACAAGTACTTCATATGTATTTTCATGTCACTGTATATTCAAAACATCGCATTTTTGCATAACCCCTTCTTGTGGTTTGCAAATGTGTTGCTAGTGTAATACGATTACTAGATGCGCTAAAATTAATAGAAATCTAAGCTGTGGATGTTTCTCTAGAGAGTGGTGAGTGGTACGTAAGACACAAGCCAAGCAGGAAGAACATATTTGATGACGAATATGAGGAAATGACTTTTTACCTGATCATCGAGAGGAAGCCTCTGTACTACATCATCAACATCATCATCCCTTGCATCCTGATTACTATCATCGCCATCTTCAACTTCTATCTGCCTCCCGATGCAGGTAAACACTTTACAGAAATTGCTTTCAGATCACTTGATGACTATGAATTAAAGCTCTCTTTATGTGACCACCAGGATCGTAAACAAGCTCCACCTTGATGTAAAACTGCTAATACCATTTCCCAATTGAGTTTGTGTGGTCGGTTTAAAATGGGCAATCAGGCATTTAGCTAATTATAAAGGGATCCAATTTCAGATTAGATAGGTGCTTCCTGGAACACAGTTGAATTGATAACCTTTAAAATGAAGGAGGTAAAAACAGCTTAGAGCAATCGGCTTGACTCTGTCCTTTCCCTTATACGCTTACCTTTATGTTTGGACAAGCCTGCTCATTGGGTACATTGATTGATTAGGACACAAATATGCAAAATACAACCTGAGATATTAAAGTTTGACTTAGCACAAAACCCACAGATGTGCAAATATGCATAAATCTCAATAAGGTACACAGATCGGAACATAACATAACATACTGCATTTCTGCACAGCTGTATTAATATTCATTGACATTATACTGTCTTTATGCATTGATGTAGGCATGTATTTTAGTATATAAATATATTAAACATTGATAAAGTTATTATTTTCTTGTACAGTGATGTAGGCCTATTTTTAGGATTTTTTTAATAGCTATAAAAAGTCATTTTAACACTCTGTAATATTTTTATTTACATTTTTTGAAACGTGTGGGAGAAAAAGTATTGCAGAAAATGTCTGATTAGGATAACTGCTAAACGTATCATAGTTTACTGACCAGTGTATGCCATCTGCTTTGTTCACTGAAAAAAGCAACCAGGCAAGTGACCTTTAAAAACAACCACTTAGAGTCTTATTGGGATGATCAAGCAAAAGCTCCTTTTTGCTGCTCCCGTATTCATAAGTGGTCGCCACCAGAGATGTATCTGCATATTTGATTGGCGGAACTTTCTGCTGAATCGCCTTCCTGATGCAACCCTCACAGGGATTTGTGTCTCCTACTAGTCTTGAACCAGGGTCATATGAAATGACTGATTTGAACATGCAGTAAAGGGACACATAAACAGCATAGAGAATTGTAGGGTTTGTTTTTTTAATCTCCTCCAGTTTTACATGAATTTTCTAGTGATGCAGAAAGAGATGCTTTGCTTCTCAGTGAGAGGCCACAAACTGCTCTCTTAACCTACCAGCTCTAACCCTTCTGGGCCCTGTACTATGAAGCAAGCTCAGCATACCCAGGATGCCTTTCTGTTATCTGGATTCATTTACCCCAACACTGACAGTCAAGATAAGCCGTCACACGGAGTTCGTTAGCAGCTTGCTAAATTAACCCTGGGTCTTGGTGTAAATTGTTTGCAGCCAACAGAAAGAAATCCATGCATCCATCCACTCGCTTCCGCTTGTCCTTTTCAGGGTCGCGGGGGGCGCTGGAGCCTATCCCAGCTGTCATAGGGTGAGAGGCGGGGTACACCCTGGACAGGTCGCCAGTCTGTCGCAGGGCTAACACACAGAGACGGAAATAAATTAAATTTAATTAAAAATTGTCTCTAAGAAACCAAGAGACATTAGATGCTACTGGAAAACTTAAATCTTCCTATTGCATGTGCACAGAGGTGTGAGGGATCTACCAGGACTGGTAACGCAATTCTCTTGGAGAACTAAGTTGATCTCTAATTTGGCAGGAGATTAGGTTCGCAGCATAGATTATCATGTGATGCACCCAGGTAAGACGTGAACCACTTTTGCAGTCACCAAGGTAACCCCGAAGTTACCTTGGTGATGAAATCTGGCTTCGTAGTACAGGCCTGTGGTCATTTACAAACACAGTTCGTACACAGTTTGTACGTGACCACGGAATGAACTAAAGAGCCAATGCTGTGTCACCCAATCAGCCTCGCTTAGAATGGGAGATGAATTTTTCATTAGCATCATTGCTAGTAAATTACATTCACCAGATGCTCCTCGAATCTCAGTGAGTTGAAAATGGAACAAACCTTGGCCCGGTAAAGCTTAATGAGTCGTAACACAGGAACAAGAAATGCGCTGTGTTTCTGACTTTCCTAAATAATTGTGTTGTTTTTTTTCTTTGCAAGGTGAGAAGATGGGTTTGTCAATCAATGTGCTGCTCACCCTCACCGTGTTCCTGCTGCTGCTGGCTGATAAGATCCCCGAGACCTCGCTGGGTGTTCCCATCATCGTCAACTACATCATGTTTACCATGGTCCTGGTCACATTCTCTGTCATCCTCAGCGTGGTTGTCCTCAACCTCCACCATCGCTCTCCCAACACCCACATGATGCCAATGTGGGTCCGCAAGGTGAGCGTACATTTCAGGGTCACACAAGCTTAATTTTTGCCTGCTTGGCACATCATCATACAAGACTTCTGAAAGGAAATAATATCTGTGTCTCTTAAGAAATAGTTTTTGTCTTTCTAGCATGTGTTGTTACAGTGTCTTGCATATATACTGTAGGTAGTTCATTTGTGCCAGAACAGCCCAGAAGCACAAGCAATCTTTCTTTCTGTTGTCAGAATATTAATTTGCATTGTTAAAATACGTTAAGGCAAGTCATTAAGTGGCCAGCACGTCTGTGAGGAGAGCTGGAAAGGACAGGGGGAAATTGGGAGGCTATGTGATGAATGAAAAAAACTTCTAAACATTGAATTATCTGTCAGCAAGGAAGTAGAGCAAGCGGTAGGTTAGGACCATCAACTCTAATTAGTGTGGCAGATGACCCAAGAGACCATCTATCTATCTATGCAACTCCAAGATGAGTTGCATTTCCAACTTCAACAAGACTTCAATATGTTATAGGTTTTGTTTAAATTACAGTTAAAAAAACACCAGATAATTGCAACAAGACATTGCACAAATGCTAAAGAGACTTTAATGTAATGTCCACATTTTTAGACCCACATTTTTCCATATGTATTAGAAATTGGTTGAATGTAGTGAATAATATATACAACCAAGCTACACCTACCAACTTCCTTCAAGCATGTCTACTCCTGATAGTCACAGGCCTAGCGATGATCTTTTCATGACACTTTTATTACAAATCTTAGAAAGTAGATTCAGTCCATTTGCAGGTTGCATCCAGATCAACAGAATTAACTTTCTGTGAATTCACTTTATTTTGTCCTCAGTCAGATGGTCATGGAATATATGTCACGACTGGGCGGCAGCCGTGTGATGTGTGGAAGGAGGACTCAAATGCAGCACTTATTCAGATGTGAGGGTGATTTATTAAGAATACCGAACATAAAGGGGGGATGGCAAAACAGAACCAAAGAGTAACAAACCTGAACATGAAGGAAGGACAGCAGGGAGAGTAAGCAGGGGATTCACAGAGTAATGCAGAGGCAAACACACACTATAAATACACAGAGGGACACTGGGGCTGTATCCCAATTCAGGGTCTGCAGCCTTAAAGGCCGCATTTTAAGGCCGATTACGTCACAG